ATAGATAGATAGATAGATAGATAGATAGATAGATAGATAGATAGATAGATAGATAGATAGATAGATAGATAGATAGATAGATAGGTGCCATTATACTGCACACAAAGTGCAAGTGGAGAAATAGGAAGTGGCCTTTTGTACCTGTGATTGTTTCATACAGGTGGCTTTGAGTGCAGGTTCGATTGTAATTGTTTTGGTTAACGTGCATTGAAGTCTAAGGCCTAGGTCCATTTGTTCTCGAACCTCGCCCCTTCATACATATATACATGTATAGGCTCCGTAGATGAAACATGCGAATGTGGAACGTGGATCAGATACCTGACCTGTCTTTAAAAAAGCTCAAGATTTAAGTTCAAGTCTGGTCTACATTTTTTCTACTATTTATTCAGAAGTTAAAAAACGACCCATTTTTGTATTGAGGGCGGGTGGGGGGGGGGGGGGTTTTTGAAGCTCAACAACAAAATCGGCATTATCAACGGCAATTTCAACAAAATCGGCAACATCATCAGTAATAATATCATTAGCGACACCAACAGCAACATCCACAGTAGCATCATGAACTTCAACAACAACTTCAGCAACAACATTAACAACAAAATCTAAATCAACTTCAACAGCTATTTCAACAATAAGGAGAAGGGAGCTTTGGTCACTGATTAGAGTAATTTCGAACAACAAGGAAAGAAAGGAAGAAGGGAAAAAAAAAAGAAAGAAAATAGGATATTTGCCCAGCCAAGCAAATATCACGTCTCGTATTATGTGCCTAAGCTAGACTAGGTGCATATCTGCTCCTGTGCGAAGGATCTTTTTTTAAATTATGAACTTTCTTTTCTAACAAATGCGGTGGGTGGCAGGCGGGTGCTCTGGTATGGCTCCTCCCCCTTCCTTTCAAACATCTATTGTCCTTATCTCTTCTTTTATCTTTTATATGTTTATTTCTCTCTTGTGACATTTTTATTCTTCCTCACTTATACGACCAAATTGTGATGCAAGTGCCGCATTGTTCTTACCTGAACATAACAAGTGAAAAAGGGGCCAACGTGAGTGCTGTAACTTCGCTTTAAGTGACCTATTTTTAAGAAAGAAAAAAACCCAGAGGATTTTGCGCTTCCAGAAAATATGCATATGAATAAAACATATTTTCCAACTTTGAGAATATCCGTCAAATTGACAGGTTTGGATTTTAACAGCATTTGGCTTTGGGTGTGACATAGATATAACTGTTCCTACGATAGAGAAACTTTACTTTTTACCCAAAGATGAGATCATCATCTAGTGTCAGATCTACAATATGTGTCGGCAATCCTGGCTCTCCTTTCATTCGTTTGCTCAGAATCTCTAAGAAATGTCATTATCCTGATCTTTCCCTGTCACCCATTTATTGTTTAAATTCTCTCAGTAAGTTGCTATGGGTCTATGTACCCCTGTCTCGTTTGGCTTCAATTTTGACAGTGGGAGATAGTGGAGATCGACCAGTCTATTTCTCAAGGGAGAAATTGTTCACCTGTTACAGGCATACCGGTCGAACCTGCTCTAACGGCCACCTGTATAAGACAACCACCTGTACAAATGGCCACTCCCCCCCCCTATTTTGTGGGTTTTTAAAAAACACTTTTAGTGACACTGTGTAAGGGGAGGACATTAGGACCGCGCACTTGCGAGAAAAAACTATCTAAACCCTAAATTAGACCTCAACACTGATTGTTCAAAGCCGCGCACTATCAGAGCTGCGCACTTTTTTATGATATCGATACAATTAGATTTCCGATTACCAATTTAAGTACCGTCTGCGTTTTACTGGGCCTGGGACAAGATATTCATTAGATTTTGTCAAGAATGAATAGGCTTTTCAGGTATAAAAACATATCTACAGGACAGTGGCGATCTTTAAAGTGTTGGAGCAGCAATTTCTTGCTCATTCAGGATAAAAATTGAAGTCATGAGACTTGTCCATCGGCGTACATTTGCTTGTTACACATTCTCCCTTCTTTCTCGGAAGTGCCTTTCTGATTGGTATGCGTTTTGAGTTTCAGCTTAGATGTGGTCTGGAAGTCGCTTAACGTCTGCAGAAAGAAGCATGTATTTGGATGGGAGCTGTACAGAGTACAGAGTAATTTTGTCAAGGGGACTGTAACCGTTGGATGGACTCGACAATCTAATTGTATCGATATCGTCAAAACGTGCACAGCTCTGATAGTGCGCGGCTTTGATACTTTCCCTGTGTAAGATGGCCAACTGTCTAAGACGGTTCATTCTTCTCCTCGACAATGGGTGGCCGTCTAATACAATATTTTACTGCAATTTTGAGTGTCTATTGTGCTCGGTGTGTTATGCCCCGTGACTCTCGTAATGATTTCAGGTCGGCTGTTCAGACAAGACGCTCTTGTGATGTAGTTGTTTGTAACCTCCTTTTCAATACCCCC